TTTACTTTTACACAAAATTTTTTTTCCATAAAAATTTTATTGAAAATTTCGAAAAATTTTCTTTTTTATAGAATGTTTTCATGAGTTCTTTCCTTTCATGATGAATAAAAAAATATTTTTAAATTTGTTTAGTTTCCCTTGGATTGTGTTTTTAAGAAAATTAAATACAAAATTAAATTATATAAAATTGGCTATAAAACAACTAAATAAATAGTTACATTATAAACAAAATAAATTATTTGAAAAAAAATTCCTCTAAATGTCATTGAATTTCATGACTGTTTGTTTGTGTGTTTGTTTACTCGTATCTCTAGTTCTAACTACTTTTGATTGTACTCGTACGATTCGCTTAAGTGTATCTTATAGAACTACTGCAACAGAGAAAAAAACTATAAAATTAAATACATACATATGAACAGTGGAGCAAAATTTTTTAAAATGTTAGAAATATAAAGTTGACTTCAATATGTTTTAAAGAAATCCCAACCAGCTGCTAAATACCCCGATTTAAATATTTTCTAAAAATTTTATATTATTTTGTTTTGCCCCACAGTGCATGCTAAGTATAATAAAATATTAAATAAGAAACTAACTAAGTTAGTTTTATTCTAATATCATTCATACATCCAGTAATGAATTATAAGTATCTTTTAGATTAAGCAAATTTATCGCTTATTAACTTTTAGTGGCTGTGGTTAAATTTTACTATCAAATACGTAAACATCAGCGTACTTACGCACATTCCAACTGCTGCTGAGTATACTTAGAACATATTAAGGGGGCTCACTTACCATATAGATAAAGTAACTTCTGATGAAAAATTTTAGAATAAAATTTCAGGAAATTTAAAATATGAACTTCTTTAAAGAAACTCTTTACTTTTTTCAGAAGGACTCTAGATCAGATCTAGAACTAATATTATGCAAATATTAGCTTTTGAATAAAACTTCAGATTATAAGTTTTTTGTTAGCCAGTCTACTATTCAAACATATTGGTATCTCTACATATGTTGTTAGTTTAAGTACATGATTCTATTCATACATATCTACTTACACTTGTTTAGGTTGTCACAACTTAATAATAAAAACAAAAACAACAACGCCATGAACAACATGAACATTTTAATAAGCAGCAGCAACTACAAATATTCATATTCATAGATATAGTCGTACTTATAAATATGTATGTATGGACATAATACATTCATAAGTACTTTTTTATACAACAATATGAAATATAATTTAATTATTTTGTTGTTGTGTAAATATTCTGCTTGAACTACTCCAAAAGTTAGACTACTATTTTTGCGTACTCTAATGACTTACTAAATACATTTGAAATTAGTAAAAAACTTAAATATTCTTGTTTAAATCTATAATAAACTCTATCTAAGCCAAATTTTTTATATGTATTTTTAAGTAAGTACAATACATTGTTAGTTAAAGCAACAGTTTAGAAGTTTTTTTTTTCTTAAAGGCAACATTGTGTTAGACAACTAAATGCTGGATAGAATTTGTTTAAAAGTAGAGGTGTTGCTGCCGGTGGTCGTACATTGTTAAAAGTGCTAATATTTGCTAGTTTCATACAGTAATGTTGCTACTGCTAATGATGGCTGACTCTGTGACAAGTTTTATATTATTGGGTGAGGGTGAAAAGTACGTATATATATAGGATGAAATGCATTTCATTTAGGGAGAACAGTATTAGCACATCATCTAGTATGTAGTTTAGAATCTAGTTTATAGTCTATTCTCTAGTCTAGTCCACACAGTCTAGTCTAGTCTAGTCTAGTCTTTAGTCTAATCTTTAGTGTAGTCTTTAGTTTAGTCTATGGACTAGACTATAGACCAGACTATAGACTAGACTATAGACTAGACTATAGACTAGACTATAGACTAGACTATAGACTAGACTATAGACTAGACTATAGACTAGACTATACTAAAGACTAGAATAGTCTATAGTCTAGTCTATAGTCTAGTCTAAAGTCTAGTCTATAGTCTAGTCTATAGTCTAGTCTATAGTCTAGTCTATAGTCTAGTCTATAGTCTAATCTATAGCCTAGTCTATAGTCTAGTCTATAGTCTAATCTATAGTCTAGTCTAGTCTATAGTCTAGTCTAGTCTATAGTCTAGTCTATAGTCTAGCCAGGTCCAAAATGATGAAATTAAAATTTAATTTGCCTTAAACGATTTGTTATTAGAAAGTAAACGTTTTCTCGAATTTTGAAGAAATCGAAAATTTACTGACCCTTGCTCCCATAACAGACTCGGTTCCGAAGTTGACATATTACAAGGTTTTGATAGTGGCATAGTCGAATATAACACTATTAATTGTTTTATAAAAAAAGCTAGCGTAATTATCCTCTTTAGTCCGAAAACATTAGAATTTCAATCCAGTGTCATTACTCTTTTAAATCTTTAATATAGATTAGTCACAGTTTCATCATTCCGTTCATCCCTTGTCTTCATAGTTCAATTTCATACACTGATGATCGTTTATATTTAAAAGCCTAACAAACCCTATTTAAAATCTTATCTCCGTACAAATCCAAGAACCTTGAATGCAATTTTATATACTAGTTCCACCACCCAATCTAAACTATGATATGTGTGTTAGTTGTGAATAGTGTTTTGAATAATTAATATATGGGGATTTCCATTACAGGTCAACAATTTTACAACAACATAAATTGTTTGTAAACAACATTTGTTTTTGTTTTATTTTGCTTATAATATTTAGAAAAAAATCTAATAAATAAAAAAAAAAACAAAGACATTCTAGTATGAATATTAAACGCATATTTTTTTTACGACATATAGAGCAACAAATACTATAATGAGTGACAGTTTAGCAACAGAGGATTGACAACAAGATTTTGTTGCTGCTGGTTGGTATGTTTTGTATATGTATGAGAGAGTTTGACGTTAACCGCAGCTGCGCATAGAATAGATGGATGATTATAAACGAGGGTAAACGGAAAAGTAGTTTTTAGTATATTTGGCAAAAAAAAAAACTTGATTTGTGGAAGAAGGCTAAAAGTTAAACCTATATGGCGGTGGGTAGAACTTATAGAGTGACCTTAGAGAGTTTGAGATTTGCATAATGCTACATTTTCTGATTCGACTCACAAGTTTACGAACAGAGGACAGTTAAATGCGGTAATACTTTCTCTGCCAGGGTTTTGTCGAAACTAGATCCAAATATCTTGGGAGTTGGGAAATTTTATTCTAGATATTACTTTTCTCAGGAATACAGATTGGAAACGGACATGAAACTAAGTCTCTGAACATTGGACAATAATTACTTCCATAAATCACAATATAAGGTTATTCCAGTGGCATACAACATTTTACAATTTTTTTTAAGTTGTCTTAGAGTTGTTATATCGTCCCAAAAAATAACAGGTTTTTCAAATTTCAGAACACGAATCAAATCCCAGTTGTGAAGGAGGAAATTTGAAGCGATACAATCCTTTAGTATAGTAGAATTTGATCCCAGGGTTTTGATTTATTTAAAAGTTTTGTCGGCCTGTGTTATTGGACTACATGAGCCATAGAGATAATGCCAAAACTTCTTTTCTGAAAATATTATTGGAGTACATGATTTAGTTTAGTAGTTAGGAATGGACCTTGTTCATTGTTTTTATACCCACCATCTAAAAAGATGTGGAGTATATTGATTGAGTTATTCCGTTTGTAACACATCGAAATATTGGTCATAGACCCACAAAAGTATATATATTTTGGTTTCTTATTAAATTCTAAGACGATCTAGCCATGTCCGTCTGTCTGCCTGTCTGTTGAAAGTAGGATAGAGTCTGAAAGGAATGAGCTAGACGGTCCACGTTTTCAGTAGCTCCCATACAAGTGGACCCCCGAAAAACTGCTTTAACGGGCAAATCTATTTTAAAAGTAAAAGTATAGCGATGATATTCAACATAAATAAGTTTCATATGAGCCAAAATCTCCCTACAAAATTTTATGAGGATTGGCCCATAATTGACCCTACCCCCATATAAGGTCCCCTTCAGAAAATGACTATAACGCTCATTACTAGCTAAAAAATACAAGTATAACAATGAAATTTGACATAAGTAAGTGTCTTACGAGCCAAAATCTCTCTACCAAATTTTCTGTGGATTGGTCCATAATTGACCCTACCCCCCATATAAGGTCCCCTTTAGAAAATTACTTAAACGCTAATTACTGTCTTGAAAATACGAGTATAGCGATGACACACATAAGATCCATGCGAGCCAAAAACTCTCTATCAAATTTTTTGTGGATCGGTCCATATAAGGTCCCCTTCGAAAAACATTACTGGCTTAAAAATACGAGTATAGCAATGAAATTTGACATAAGAAAGTCTCTTACGAGCAAAATCCTCTCTACTAAATTTTGTGAGGATCAGTTCATAATTGACCCTACCCCCCCATTTAAGGTCATCTTCAGATAATTACTTTAACGCTCATTAATGACTTACAAGTACTAGTATGGAGATGGAATTTTCTTAAGAGCCAAAACCTTTTACGACATACGGTTAAATGGTGGGTATATGAATGAACATGTTTTACTTTTCATAGGTTTTGAATAGGTTTGAATCATTCCTTTACACTCGCGTGCAAATTCAAGTTTCGAATATAGGCTACGTAAATCCACCGTTGCAGTCTCTAAAGATGCTAAAAATGGGAGTCCTCGGGTATATAAAAAACAAACCCGATTGTACAAATGTTTTAAAGTATTTAATATTTAGAAAAGTTGTTTTATATTTAAGCATTAATATTGAATGACTTCATTAACTGCCCTCGTATTTTTCTAGAATCGAAAATGATGAGCGGTATTAGTGGTGGTAGATACATTTAACAACATTTTTATTGTTGCTGCTGCTTGTATACAAGGCAAAACAACAAATATTGTTTTTAGTAAACAAAATCAGTATACTGAGGTACTCAGTATGGGCTGCAAAAGATAATACATGTATATACAAAATACTTCTACGGCAGACAACCGAGACTCTGTACCAATATAGACGGGCAACTAAAAACAGCAGCCAACAACACCAGCAGCAGCAACCAACTAACCAACCAACCAGCCAGTCAAACAGCCGGAGAACAACCCCAACACAATGCAGTGAAAAAATACTCGATACAGTGAATTAAAATGTTACAGTCAGTCACAGCCTTACACTCGAACAGGAAGGCAACCAAAGCGGCTGTTATTTTTTTTTGAAATAAATCAAACGATATAATGTAAAAAAACGTTTATTTTCAATTTAAACGCGATAATTTTTATGGAAACGCGCGTGTTTTAATGTAAAAAACGGCAAAAAAAATTTTATAAATAAAGTGGCTTAATACTAAATACCTTATTTTAATGTTAGATTTGGCTTAAAAAAACACAACAAATTATTATGGATTAACTAAAAAAAAAACAACAACTATTAACGACAAAGCAAATTAAAGTAGAACAACCATTTTTTTCTTAAGCAACGAATGAATTTTCAAAAACGAATGTTGGCGTTTTTTTTAAATAATTACAACAATTAAAAAATATTTCAAAATTAAGTGAAGTACAAAAATTACAAAAGAAATATAAAAAAAATATAAAATAAAAATTTGTATAAAAAATTTAAATTAAAAAAAGAATAATTTTTCCCTTAAGATTTTTCATCACTTCCATCACAGATTATTACTCTCTAGACAGAGTTGAGTTTTTTATCTGTTGAAAATATTATTATAAATATTAATAAAAAATTCATAAAATAAATAAAACAAAGTGTTTTTTAAATGTTGTTTTCTACTACTCATTTTATTTTCTATACATATGTGTAAAAAAAGTGAAAATATTAATTATTGTCTAAATAAAGATAAGAATATTGTTTGCTTTGTTATTTGCCATTAAGTTTATTATTTAATTTAATATTCATAAAACATGGCAAAATAATAGAGAAAAAAATCTGGAAAAAAATTATTCTAAAAAAATGTAATTAAATAAATAAAATAATAATCCTAGTGTTGTTAACAAGTTTTCCATAATTTAAATAAAATTGTTTTCCTATATAAAAACTAAATACAATTACAAATTTGGATATTCATCAAACTACCAGACAGACATACTACCCTACATATAAGGAATTTCTTTTTTGGATTATATTTAAACAGAGAAAAGTAAGTCGAGGAAGTTAATTTCTTAAAAAACTAGTATAATTAAGTTAAATAAAACAATAATAAGAAAAATATACTAAAGGCTGCTCCAATTTATATGAGAAGGTCTTATGAGGTTCAAAACCTTTCCTTGTTGTAGTTAAGGGACAATTTATTTTTATCAGGAATTTTATTAATCAGCTTGGAATAAGTTTCTCAGTTTAGCAAAGTCTTTCCGAACATTTTTTCTCCTTAAATTTTTAATTTCACTAGAATATTTTGATGCTGTAAATTATACTGATTGTTCCGGAATTTGCTAAAGATACTTAAGTTCCTTAAAAACTTGTTTAGGTCGAATTTGGTTGCAATACTGGTGTTTTCCAGCTAGTTATGAGCCTTAAACACATTTTCTGAAGGCGACTTTAAATGGCAGCTAAAGTCAGTTATGCATCGATCTTTTTAAAAAGAAGTAAGAAGATTTTAGTAATATACAACTTTTTATATCAAATATCAATCTAATTATAAGTGTTGACGTTTCTGAAGGAGTCTATAGACTAGACTATAGACTAGACTATAGACTAGACTATAGACTAGACTATAGACTAGACTATAGACTAGACTATAGACTAACTATAGACTAGACTATAGACTAGACTATAGACTAGACTATAGACTAGACTATAGACTAGACTATAGACTAGACTATAGACTAGACTATAGACTAGACTATAGACTAGACTATAGACTAGACTATAGACTAGACTATAGACTAGACTATAGACTAGACTATAGACTAGACTATAGACTAGACTATAGACTAGACTATAGACTAGACTATAGACTAGACTATAGACTAGACTATAGACTAGACTATAGACTAGACTATAGACTAGACTATAGACTAGACTATAGACTAGACTATAGACTAGACTATAGACTAGACTATAGACTAGACTATAGACTAGACTATAGACTAGACTATAGACTAGACTATAGACTACTATAGACTAGACTATAGACTAGACTATAGACTAGACTATAGACTAGACTATAGACTAGACTATAGACTAGACTATAGACTAGACTATAGACTAGACTATAGACTAGACTATAGACTAGACTATAGACTAGACTATATACTAGACTATAGACTAGACTATAGACTAGACTATAGACTAGACTATAGACTAGACTATATACTAGACTATAGACTAGACTATAGACTAGACTATAGACTAGACTATAGACTAGACTATAGACTAGACTATAGACTAGACTATAGACTAGACTATAGACTAGACTATAGACTAGACTATAGACTAGACTATAGACTAGACTATAGACTAGACTATAGACTAGACTATAGACTAGACTATAGACTAGACTATAGACTAGACTATAGACTAGACTATAGACTAGACTATAGACTAGACTATAGACTAGACTATAGACTAGACTATAGACTAGACTATAGACTAGACTATAGACTAGACTATAGACTAGACTATAGACTAGACTATAGACTAGACTATAGACTAGACTATAGACTAGACTATAGACTAGACTATAGACTAGACTATAGACTAGACTATAGACTAGACTATAGACTAGACTATAGACTAGACTATAGACTAGACTATAGACTAGACTATAGACTAGACTATAGACTAGACTATAGACTAGACTATAGACTAGACTATAGACTAGACTATAGACTAGACTATAGACTAGACTATAGACTAGACTATAGACTAGACTATAGACTAGACTATAGACTAGACTATAGACTAGACTATAGACTAGACTATAGACTAGACTATAGACTAGACTATAGACTAGACTATAGACTAGACTATAGACTAGACTATAGACTAGACTATAGACTAGACTATAGACTAGACTATAGACTAGACTATAGACTAGACTATAGACTAGACTATAGACTAGACTATAGACTAGACTATAGACTAGACTATAGACTAGACTATAGACTAGACTATAGACTAGACTATAGACTAGACTATAGACTAGACTATAGACTAGACTAGACTAGACTATAGACTAGACTATAGACTAGACTATAGACTAGACTATAGACTAGACTATAGACTAGACTATAGACTAGACTATAGACTAGACTATAGACTAGACTATAGACTAGACTATAGACTAGACTATAGACTAGACTATAGACTAGACTATAGACTAGACTATAGACTAGACTATAGACTAGACTATAGACTAGACTATAGACTAGACTATAGACTAGACTATAGACTAGACTATAGACTAGACTATAGACTAGACTATAGACTAGACTATAGACTAGACTATAGACTAGACTATAGATTAGACTATAGACTAGACTATAGACTAGACTATAGACTAGACTATAGACTAGACTATAGACTAGACTATAGACTAGACTATAGACTAGACTATAGACTAGACTATAGACTAGACTATAGACTAGACTATAGACTAGACTATAGACTAGACTATAGACTAGACTATAGACTAGACTATAGACTAGACTATAGACTAGACTATAAAATTGACTATAAAATTGACTATAAAATTGACAATAGACTAGACTATAGAATAATAACAATAATTATTTGTATTGAATTTCATCGCTGTACACGTATCTTTAATTCAGTCATGAGGTTTAAAGTAATTTTCTGAAGGATACCGATAATGGGGGATTGGATCAGTTATCGATCGATCCTCATTAAATTCAGTTGAAAAATTTCAGTTGCTATAAAACTACCGTAATTTCGAAGAACTTTTGAGCCATAGATGAGAGTTAAAGTAATTTTCTGGAGTGAATAAGGGTTAATTATAGACCGTTCTTCATAAATTTTTGTACATAAATTATGTTTCGTAAAGAAGTTGTTTTTAATCGAATTTCATTGCCTAAGTCGTAATTTTAAGCAACTAATGAGAGTTAAAGTAATTCGGTTGGAAGATTTCTGTTCCCATAAAACTTGTTTATCTTGAATTTCATATATCTACTCGTATTTTAATGCCAGTCAATTATGGTCCAATCCTTTTAAAATTTAGAACGATAAGAAAATGATTTTAGTTCCTATAAAACTTTTTTATGTCGAATTTTATTGCTATATATGCTTCTTAAGGTGAGATATGAGCAATAAAGTAATTTTCTGAAGGAGACCTTATATGGAGGGTAGGGTCAATTATGGACCGATCCTTATAATATTTTATAAAGAGATTTCAGTTCCTACAAAAAGTTTGTTTCTGTCGAATTTCACAGCTATAGAGGTTTCTTTTAGGCAGTTATTAGCGTTAAAGTCTTTTTCAGAAGGGGACTTTATATGGGGGGTAGCGTAAATTATGGGTCTATACTTATAAAATTTTGCGAAATGATTTAAGTTCCCATAAAACATGTTTGTGCCGAATTTCACCGCTATATATGATTCTTTTAGCCAGTAATGAGCGATAAAGTAATTTTCTGAAGGGGGCCATCAGAAACCGATCTTCCCCATTTTCAATACCAAACAAACTGCATTAGCTAAAAGTATCTATGTAAAATTTCAGCTCGCTAGCTATTTCCATTTGGACTCCATCGTATTTTCAACAGACAGACGGACGGACATGTTTAGATCGTCTTAGAATCCAACAAGGACCGAGAATATATATATACTTTTATGGGTCTTGGACGAATATTTCAATGTGTTACAAACGGAATGACAAAAACAATATACCCCTCATCTTTTTTGATGGTGGGTATACAAATTTAGATATTCAAACTAAAGTATGGAAAAAGTCATCAGTTTTGCATTTTTGGTACTTTTGCGATATTTATATATTTGTTCTATTCTTAGTCTTGACAAGGTTTTATATTTCCTGTCCCCCACACAGCTATTGGGGTTGATGTTATTAAAAATAATTTCTTGAAATTATTCTCTATAAATCCCAATAATTATCATACCACCTACGTATTTATTCGTATTTATAATTTTTATTTACTTAGCTCTTTAATATCAGCTCCTTTACATATTCTTTGTTTATTTACTTCATTTTCCATCCATCCATCCGTTTTATATATATAAACTTAAATGTCTCTTCCTTTTTGTTTTGTTTAAATAAAACAAACCCATTGTGCATATAAAGACAATGAGTGGGGTATAAAACAAAATCAGCTACAACAACCACATTGTCCAGCACATTTAAATTGTGACGTTTAAATTACGCATAAAATTCGAAAAACAAAACTCAGACAAACGATACAATATGTTTGGGTCTAACTTCTAGAAAAAATAATCTTTGGAATAAGTTTTGTGATTTTTAAAAACAAAAAAAAATACTTATTTATTTCGACTGGAAATGAATGTTTCATTAGTTTTATACAAAAAAAAAAAAAAAAAAATATTTATAAATTTGATAAGACGTCTACTTTATATGTAAAAAGTATTTGTTTTTATTAGTATCAGTAGACATTGAGTGGAGAGTCGCTTAAATTGATTGATCTTGAATTTCAAATTGTTTGATTTTAAAATAAAAGTGTTTATTATTTAAGTGAGTTTTTGAAACATGCCGTTGTAGTTAGAAAATAACAAATATTAGGGAGGTTTAGTTTAGATAAATTTGGAAATATTGGTTAAAAACTCCTTTTCCATCGGCAAATGGAACTCTGAGGATTTCGAAGAAAGCCATGCGAGCTTTTAACATATACAGTTAATCTCAAAAATAAGTATACAGAAATACTGACAATTGGTTTTATTTAAAAATATATATTATTTTTTCAAAAAACAAAAAAGTAACACATTTATTTATTAAAAACAATTATGATAATTATTATTCACTACTTTTTTCCGGATTATTTTGGTTATTTGAGTTCTCATTTAAGGTGAAGTTAAGAAGGTGCAAAATTTACGTCACAAAAGTAAGTATACATATCATTTCAGTATATATTTGGTTTAATGATATTAACAAAATTTATGAAAATTTTAATTGTATTAATATAATTACATTATAATAAAATATTTTTTAAACAATACCTTGAAAAAAATCTACTTTTAGTTCCGAAATCATGAAATTTGAGCCGATTGGCTCCAGAATTTATTAGTAGAACAGTTTTTCTCATTTTTACGATTTTTTTCCACTTTAGATCCCGGATTTTGGATCTGGTGGTTATTGAACCCTCCAAATGATGCATTGGAAATAGAATTTTTAACTTTTGAAAAGAGTTGTTATTTTGAAATTAATGTGATTCCGATCCATGTTTTATGGATCGGAAATTTTATTTGTTCTAGCAACAAATTAAGATGTATTCGTGTTCAAAATTATTCAATTTGTATTCATACCACTAATTGAGCCTGATTTAATATAAAAATCTTACTATTTTGGACAACAACCAATTTCAGAACCGATAGGTAGTGTAAGTTATTGACATGGTCACCATTTGACGATTATTGGTAGTATTTAGGAGTGTGTAATGGATGATTGGAACCAAAAAACTTGTTTTAATTAATGGATACTAGTACAAATATTATTAGTTTCGCATTTTAAGATATAAATTTTAGGAAATCGTCATTAAATATCGAATATGAACGCTACACTATGTTAAAAACGGCAATGTTCCGCAATGTATTGCAATTACTGTAAAGAAATAATTACTTCAAAAATTAAAATATCGTTTTCCAATGCATCATAATGAACAAACGAGGGATATTATTGAATACCCGATCCAAAAATCCGGGGGTTTAAATAGTCAGATGTTCTTAAATAGGAAAAAATGCTCCTATAAATAATATTCAGATCAATTGCCAAAAATTTCAATTTTTTCGGAACAAAAAGTGATTTTTTTCCAAGTTATAGTGTACAAAATATTTTATTATAAAGTAATTACATTCAAACAGGTCAAATTTTCGTAAATTTTGTTAATATCATTAAGACAAATACATACTGTATACTTACTTTTGTGACGTAAATTTTGCACCTATTTAACTCCACCTTAAATGAGAACTCAAATAACCAAAATAATCCGGAAAAAAGTAGTGAATAATAATTATCATAATTGTTTTTAATAAATAAATGTGTTACTTTTTTGTTTTTTGAAATATATATTTTTAAATAAAACCAGTTGTCAGTATTTCTGTATACTTATTTTTGAGATTAACTGTATATATATATATATATATATATATATATATATATATATATATATATATATATATATATATATATATATATATATATACATATATATTCTAATTAAGTCCTTATTAGATTCCAAAATGTTGTAGTAATTCCCGTCTGCCTATCTGTCTGTTTAAATCACAATAGGGTTTGAACGGAAAAGGTAACGGTCGTGAAATTTTTCATAAATATTACCAATAAGGTTGGATTGGTATGAGAGCATGTGGCCGAGCGTTGTCGCTCGCATACTCAGATAATTTTTCGGCTTCATAGGAATCACTTTCATTCGGTACAGATTCCTTGGCCTGATTTTAGCAGCATATAATAGATAGGACCTTTTTGGTTCAACAACATAACATATTCTGAAGTGAAACGTATCACAGGAAGAGCGTTCTGCATCGATCGTATGTAATCGGACCACTTCTTTCTTAATAGATTTAAACAAGAATTGCTATATGTGGGATATTCGGATACCATGTTCTGAAGTGAAATGTATCACAGGGATAGAGTTCTGAATCAATCGTAAGCAATACTAATCGGACCAATTCTTTCTTAATAGATTTAAACAAGAATTGCATTATGTAAGATTTGATGTTTTTCGGACAGTGCTGGCTTCAAATGAATCAGAAACATTTGACACAGATTCCATAATAGTTACGACCTTTTGGATCCATCAAATACAGAGCATTAACTTAGCGCTTTGAAAATTTAGTTTTAGTGTAGATTACGCTGGTTGGCCTGGCTTCACAGACGATCTCTCATGCTTGGGGTTATCGTAATCAATCCATAGTTTATCGTAAGCAATGATTCGGTAAGAAAAATGTTTTACTTTGCGTTAAAGCAGCATTTTGGTCTCGTAAAATCTTATTTTAAGCGATGTTACTCAATTTCCCCGTTTTTGGATGAATCCTGCTTTGAAATATGCAACGTTTTGAAATATGTGCTTGAATTGCTCCTAATGAATTTGGAAGCTTTTGTGTCAGATTTTTGAGTTTTTGCTATTAGGTAGATATTTGTCTATTAGTCTAGGGAAGGTTGGTTCTATTCCCACCAGAGACCTTGGTTTGCTACACTGCAATGAGCTTGTGTAATATGGTTATCGTAACCCTGTTCATGAAATTAGATTAGAATATCTATATGTCATAGTATTTCCCCGTATGTCTGGAAGGACTATAGGCGAGGTGCCACGCCCACATTCTTAACAAGTATTAATAATCATATATCTGCGAAACTACAACATCTACAGTCTTCAAATTTGTACAGTTAACTTTGACGTTTCCACAAAGATTATAGTAAAAAATGGGCGAACTAGCAGTAATGGGCGTAGCTCATTCCACGCCTACTATTGATACCAAAATGCCTATATATGGAAAACCACAACAGCTACAGCTAGAGTGTTAAAATTTTGTACGATTAACTTTAGCATAAATTTAAAGATTTAGAACAAAAATGGCCGCAATAACAATAGTGGGCGTGTCAACTGCCATATAAAGTAAATGATAAAATTTTTATATCTGTAGAACTATAATAGATGTTGTCCCCAAATTTTGTACAATTTAAATTTAAAGATGAATAATTTGAAAGGAAATGGGCGAACCAGCATTAGTGGGCGGGATATCTACCATATGAGGTGAATACGATAATGGGCGTGGTAACTCCCATATATCTGGATATCTGGAGAACTATAGTCCATAATTCTGTACAATTTAAATATAAATAAATTGAAAGAAAATGGGCGGACCAGCATTAGTGGGCGGGATATCTACCATATGAAGAAAATAGTAATATATGAATAACTCGAAAACTATAAATGCTAGATTCCTCTAGATTTGTACAAGTAACTTTAGTTTCAATATGAATATTTTGGAAAAATAGGGACGGACTAGCAATAGTGGGCTTGACAACTACTATATGAATTAAAAATAAAAACTTCTATATCTGAAACTGTTATAGTATGAACACTATAAATAAGTGATCAACCCTAATACTTAAAACTTTATTTCAAGTGTTTTTGAAATCAATCATCTAATTGTATGTGATTATTTATATATTTTATACTTTTCTATGAAAAATAAGATATCATATGTTAAAACAATAAAATAGATAATGTCCCGATTATCTCAAGAACTAACCTCGTCGGTTAGCAGTTAAAAAAGTAAATAAAAAAATTTTACCCAAAAAAAACTTAGTATAATTTTAACAGTGATTTAGTTAAGATGTTTTAAAATAATTAAAAAAAATAATCTTTTTCATTTACACTTACAGATCTAAATAAAACTCGATGATTGTTTTAAAATCAATAAAACTGGAAATTTTTAATATTAATTTAATATCAGACACGTGATATTTTTAACAGAGCTAAAACTCTCCCCTAAAAATAAAAATAAAGTGAAAAAAAGTAATTAAAAATTATTTTAATTATAAATAACAGAAAAACGTCAGCAAAATAATAAAAACGACAAAAACAAAAATATGATTGTAGATAAATCGGAAAATATGGGAGAGCATGCTTGGACGAAGCTGCTCGACGATAAAGATAGTACAGGAAAAGGTGCTGTGATTGTTAAAATGTCCAATAAAACCGATAATAGTCTCTTAAGTGATGTACAAAATTTACAAAACTCTAAGGAAACAAGTCCCCTAACCGGTGGCCTAATCGACACTACAAATACCACAAACACAACGACGACAGCGGTGACGGCGAGAAAAGTTAGTACGGGAGATTTGGTGAGCATGGAGACGGGCAAAGATGGCGCCACTGAATGTTTAACAAAATTCACCAGAAATGGCGAAGAGAAAAATGTCAGTATACAACGTAAAGAATCAATACTTGGTACATTCCATAGACATTTAAGAAGATCGATAAAAGCGGTTAGTGAATCACCGGGACCGATAACAAGGTAAGTTTATTTTCTTTATATTTATTGATATTTTTTTTGATGTGACCTAGTTTAATCAGTTAAGATTGCTAAAATGTGAATTTCTACGTCAATTGCATTATAAATTATGCATTTTTATTTTTGTTAATTTCCAATTATTAGTTTAAAAAAATCACTTTCTGAGTGATTTGTATTGACTGAGGGGGCCTTAATTCGATTTTTTTTCTCTAAATTTTTATTAGCCATTATTTATTTAAATTGGGTGTGTGGCTCTTACGTTTACAAAAATATAATTGCTAAGGGGAATTTTTCGTGAGATAGAAAAAAAATATTCGTTTTCTTATAAAAATATCTGTGTTGTTTATTTTTGTTTTTGAAGTGTGTTTGGTAGAATAATTTGTGTTGCACTTATTGGTTTTGTAATGAATCATTTTTGTAGTTTTTAAATGATATTATTTCTGAGTGAAAAGTGTTTACCTTGTAAGAGGGAAAGATAGCGTAAATTCATTAATGCTAAATGTGTAAAAAGTTTATCCACCCATAAAAAGTAGCATCAAATTTATTCAGTCGAAGATTGCATTAGCTACCTAACTAGTTACCAGTAAGCCGTACTGTAATCGGTATTTTTTGCAAAACTTACAGTAGATGGAAAAAACCCAAATTATTTTTAAGCACAAAAACAAAGAAGCTTTAAATTACAGACTAAATTGTTTTCTTTACAATAAATAAAAAATACACAAATGATTTAATACATCTGAAAACAAATGATAGCCAACAGGTGCTGAATACTAATGAAATATTAGGGTAGTTATTTCAACATTTTTCGTGCGGTATCCGAATTCTGTTGTAGGCATTTGTAATCTACTACAATCTATTTGTAATCTGCTTAAAAAACTAACTTCTTTTGCAAACTTTTTAACAAATATTTTGTCGAATTTTTACCTTAAATTCTAAACTATACACTAGACTAGAGATTATATTATAGAATTGACTATAGACTAGATTATAGACTAGACTGTAGACTACGCTGTAGACTAAACTACATACTAGACTATAGACTACACTAGACTATAGACATGACTTTAAATGCTGGTCTAGACTAAAGACTTGACTTTAAATGCTGATCTAGACTATAATCTAATTTATACTTTAGCCTATTGTCTAATCTATAGTCTAGTTTATAGTCTAGTTTATAGTCTAGTTTATAGTCTAGTCTATAGTCTAGTCTATAGTCTAGTCTATAGTCTATAGTCTATAGTCTATAGTCTAGTCTAGTCTAGTCTAGTCTAGTCTAGTCTAGTCTAGTCTAGTCTAGTCTAGTCTAGTCTAGTCTAGTCTAGTCTAGTCTAGTCTAGTCTAGTCTATAGTCTAGTCTATAGTCTATAGTCTATAGTCTATAGTCTAGTCTAGTCTAGTCTAGTCTAGTCTAGTCTAGTCTAGTCTATAGTCTAGTCTATAGTCTAGTCTATAGTCTAGTCTATAGTCTAGTCTATAGTCTAGACTATAGTCTAGTCTATAGTCTAGTCTATAGTCTAGTCTATAGTCTAGTCTATAGTCTAGTCTATAGTCTAGTCTAGTCTAGTCTAGTCTAGTCTAGTCTAGTCTAGTCTAGTCTAGTCTAGTCTAGTCTAGTCTAGTCTAGTCTAGTCTAGTCTATAGTCTAGTCTATAGTCTAGTCTATAGTCTAGTCTATAGTCTAGTCTATAGTCTAGTCTAGTCTATAGTCTAGTCTATAGTCTAGTCTATAGTCTAGTCTATAGTCTGGTCTATAGTCTAGTCTATAGTCTAGTTTATAGTCTAGTCTATAGTCTAGTCTATAGTCTAGTCTGTAGTCTAGTCTATACTCTAGTCTATAGTCTAGTCTGTAGTCTAGTCTATACTCTAGTTTATAGTCTAGTCTATAGTCTAGTCTATAATCTTGTCTATAGTCTAGTCTATAGTCTAGTCTATAGTCTAGTATATAATCTAGTATATAATCTGTTGAATAGCTTAGTCTACAGTCATTTTAATGACAAGGTTTCAAGACAAGTTTTCATACAGGCGTCCGGGCAGATAAACATACAAACGCAGGAAGAGAGAGTTTCATTCTTTCCAATTCCATTTATAATTATTTGGAAACACAATTGAAGCTGGAAGTTCTTTATATGTTAAATTGAGTCGGTCATTACCACAACAAACGTATATTGAATACTAAATAATACCAAAAGGTGCAGTTTTAACTTAACATTGATTTAACTAATTAAATTAAAGTAATATTTATTCCGTGACATAACTAAGGCAATACATTTATCATAACAAATACTTACCATTAACACTTGACATTTAGCATACCTTCTCATTTTGTTCATCGATTATTCAAACATGTAGATCATTCATAATTCCGACAACTAATTAACACCTCTATTGATTATACAAATCCATACAAGACCTCATGCCGATCAATTAAAATAGAATGAATTTCTTTATGGGTTTCGTTTCTTTCGTTTTATTTTTTTGGAAATTGCAGCATGTAACATTAATGTTCGAAAAAAGCACACATGCCTGCCAATAAAACAATAATGATTAAATGATTGATTAAAATTAAAAAACAACTCGCACACACACACATAGAAAATTCAATTTAATTAAATAAATAATGGTAATTTTGGTTGTGCTAAAGATATCTTTATAAATACTTTCAGGAAAAGATATTGTATGAGTGTTTGCGTTGGAGATGTGCGAGTGATGTATGATTTTTAGACCACACGTGATTTAGGTGTGATGCTTTTTCAAACAATTTAGATAAATTATATAAAAATTCCTAATGATGTTGACATAATTTAGAACCAGAATTAGAACGGAACTAGAATAGAACTAGAATAGAACTAGAACAGAACTAGAACAGAACCAGAACAGAACTAGAACAGAACAGAACTAGAACAGAACTAGAACAGAACTAGAACAGAACTAGAACAGAACTAGAACAGAACTAGAACAGAACTAGAACAGAACTAGAACAGAACTAGAACAGAACTAGAACAGAACTAGAACAGAACTAGAACAGAACTAGAACAGAACTAGAACAGAACTAGAACAGAACTAGAACAGAACTAGAACAGAATAGAACAGAACTAGAACAGAACTAGAACAGAACTAGAACAGAACTAGAACAGAACTAGAACAGAACTAGAACAGAACTAGAACAGAACTAGAACAGAACTAGAACAGAACTAGAACAGAACTAGAACAGAACTAGAACAGAACTAGAACAGAACTAGAACAGAACTAGAACAGAACTAGAACAGAACTAGAACAGAACTAGAACAGAACTAGAACAGAACTAGAACAGAACTAGAACAGAACTAGAACAGAACTAGAACAGAACTAGAACAGAACTAGAACAGAACTAGAACAGAACTAGAACAGAACTAGAACAGAACTAGAACAGAACTAGAACAGAACTAGAACAGAACTAGAACAGAACTAGAACAGAACTAGAACAGAACTAGAACAGAACTAGAACAGAACTAGAACAGAACTAGAACAGAACAGAACTAAGAAAAGAACTAGAACAGAACTAACTTAGAACAGAACTAGAACAGAACTAGAACAGAACTAGAAACAGAACTAGAACAGAACTAGAACTAGAACAGAACTAGAACAGAACTAGACAGAATAACAGAACTAGAACAGAACTAGAACAGAACTAGAACAGAACTAGAACAGAACTAGAACAGAACTAGAACAGAACTAGAACAGAGCTAGAATAGAACTACAACCTGAACAAGAACAGAACTAATTATGATTAGATTTATCCTGAGATAAAGCCATGAACGAACATTTCTCACACACCGTTCCATCTCTAATTTATATAATTTTATTTATAACAACAAAAACACCAACAGCAGCACTAACATAAATCAAGTAATATTATACATCAATTGTGATGAATTTATTAAATAAATTTCACATACCAACGACTCATATTTCATTGTTGTTAAATAAATAAATTAAATTTTATTAACAACAAAAAGAAATACTAAAAAGATAATAACCAAAACAACAAAGAAAACGATTTAAAATATTTAATTTTTTTAGTTTATTTTTTTAAAGAATATAAATTGCATTTTATTTAAATCCAAATTATCATTGTTGTATTTATATAGTAGTTGCTACTGATATCGAATGATGAGGGTGTTGAAAGAAAAATACAAAAGAAACTCACATTAATTAAGATTTCCTTTTTAGTATGAAAAGTTTTTCGTTCTATTTATATGCGTGTGTATTCTTTCTTTTTATAAATTTGTCAAGTTCAAATCTTGAAATGTTAAAAATTTGTATAGATTTGAGTGCATCTGAGCAAAATCATGCTTTTGGGTTGAATATTTTATTAAATGCAAAAAGTACCATTTGAATGAAAAAGTACCAAAAAGTTTACTCACTAGAACGTAAAAGTACCGAAATCCAAAAGGTACTATTTCTTTTAAAGTTCGGAAAGGATTCAAACTCGTGTTGGTTAGTCTGCTGTTGAGCTCATAATATCACTGTTTTCAACTGTCAAAACTCTTGTCTATGAAATTCCAAAATATAAGCTAATCACACATATAATTTTTCTTTCAAACTTATCAGCATTATTAAAGGTTCAATAAATCCCAAATTGCTAAGCAAAATTCCTTTTCTTAAAACTTCTTTTAATATTAAGTTGCACAAATAAGATTTGGTAAAAATAAATAAAAAAATACTGAGAATTGCCACCAAAAAACAAAACCTTGAACACTTGAAAAGAACTAATGAACTATAAAGAGTCTGTGACTTATAGCACGGATTACTAACACATACTTAAAAGAAAAAGAAAATAATTAAGGTCAAAGTGCAGATTTTGGTAATACGAATATAATATTTGCGTCTTCTTAATTGTTTCATTTTTCGTTTATCCGTTTATACAGCTGTAAAGTTCTTAATTTGATTTATGTTAATTAGTTTTAATTGTTATCTTAAAATAGATTTCTTGTACTTAAATACGTTTTTACAAATATAAAGTC